GTTCAAGAAAGAAATAAAGAGTTTGTGGATGTGGAAGTAAAGGTAGGCCTTGATGGGCTAGCCATTTGTTATAGCATAAGTCTGGAACGACTAATGTATTGTATGATGGATCTTGTGGTGTTTCCTTGAAGTGTGATAATGCAATTGGATTTAAGGAAGTAAAAAGTTCCTCTGTAGATTCGATCACTGTATGCTCAGCTTTTACAGCTGTGAAGAGTTCCATAGCCTGCTCTGTACATTGAGTCTGGCCATCATAAACTTGGTTCTTCATATAAATAGACTTTTCCACCTGTCTACTTACATCATTCTCTTCTAAGAATGGTCCACAAAGAGTGGAGAACATTATAATCTTAGAAGTGATGGCTGTAAAAGCAAAATTTATACTGAATATATATTATTATATATATAATTAAAACTGGTTTATTAAAAGCATTTAAAACTTGCTACTAATTATATATTTTTATTATCAAAATAAAATAAAAAAATAGATACAAAATTTATAAAAAAGATTTTTCTAAAAAAAGATTAAACCCTTTATTTTCTTTACTGTTTCTTTATAGAATCAGAAGCATGTCTTTTACTGATTCTTTTTTTATACATCCATATATCTTCACTATTGTTACTATCTTTATTTTCATAGTCTTTTTTTTTACTGCTACTTTTTTCTTCTTCTTCCTTCTCTTCTTTCTCCTCTTCCTTCTCACTCTCATCTACATCCTTATCACTATAATTACTTTTGTCATCTTTATTTTCATTTACTGCCTAATCAGAAATATTATCAGGCTGGTGTACTATTAGTATATATAATGATCAACAGTGATGCCTAAAATTAGGTTTCATAGTCATATCAAGAATGTTATATAATAGGTTAATTAACTATTAAAATAAAAAAAAATATTAAAATTTTATGTAATTAGCTCTTTTTAAATTTTGTCAAGTGTTCTTTACTATATGGGGTCATGCAGTGTAATAAATTTTTGCTATATTTGCCATATGTAACATGCAGTATAAATACTTTTACCTTGTATGATTTGTTTGTGTTATTTCTTCATACAGAGAATCGTCAAAACAATTTCTTCGCAATACATAAAAAAGAAAATTTGCATTCGGCTTTTTTATAATTAGTGCTTACTAGCAAGTAGCCTCTAGCTAGTAGCCTCTAGCTAGTGACTTCTGGCTATTATTCTCTAGCTAGTAACCTCTAGCTAGTACTTTTCAAAATTACGATCATTTTGTATTTGCTTTTTTTTTTATTAAATAAAAATAAATAATAATAAAAAAAATTAAATTAATTAAAAAAAATAAATATTTAAAAATACAGATTTTAAACTTTTATTAGTTTTATCTTTTTTCATATCGGATTTTTTATTGGTTTGATTAATAGATAATCTTGAAGACTTCTCAGCGAAACTTTTTTTTTTTTGAGAAGAAAAAAAAAAAAAAAAAAAAAATTTAGAAAGAAAAAGAGATGATGTCATGCATCAAAAATATGTAGCATGCATATGCTTATGACATGCATAATAGTGAAATCAGGTACATTGTTGTACATAATGTTAATAAATCCTTAACTTTCTTCGGAATGAACTAAAAATACCAGGAATAAAGATGCTATATGTACTATCTACAACAGGTATAATAATAAATAATCTGTACTTTCGTATTAATTATTATCATTTTTCTATCTTTGCAGTAAAAAACAAAAAAATAAGATTTTTATTTATAACATAAAAATAAAATAAAAATTGAATTCATGAGAATGAAACCTAGAAACCGATTTAGTTAATGATTTACTACAATTAGTTTTCAGGTTTTATTTTCACACACTCATATAAACAAAAACTTGTAAATTTTTGAATTATAAATAACTGATTATTATTTAGTATTTATTCATTATTATTATAAATAAATAAAAAAGATTTAATAAAGCATAGACGTGATAAATATTTCATTAAATGAGTGCGTGAGAATGAAAACCTGGAAACTGACCATAGTAAACATTAAATCGGTTTCCAGGTTTTCACTCTCACACACTCAAATATGTATCAACGTGTGAAAAAAAAAAATCTCTACAAAGAACTATTATTTTTTATTATTAGTTATTATGAGTTATTACTACAAAAACAATGAACAGGTAAACCCAAATACACATATATTAGAATACGAGTTCCAACCTTGATTACCACATGAAAACATGATATTTTATTGAAAAAGCATGATATCAATGATCAAAGAAATTATAATTACGCAAAAAAAAATAAATAAATAAATATAAATCTGTTAATTATTATTAGTTATTATTACAAACAGTAAACAGGTAAGCGCAAGTACACATATATAAAAATACAACTTTTAATCTTGGTTACCACATGAAGATGTAATATTTTATTTCTTAATTAAAAAAAAAAACATGACATCATGGATTGAAAAAATTGTAATTATTTATAATTATAAAAAAAAAATAATAAAAAAAATTGTAAAAATTCATTAAATAACCTGAAGTACTGTATATAATAAAATGAGTGTTTTTTTATTTATTAAAAATAAAATTTTAAACTATCATTGACTTCATTTTTTTTTAATAAATAAAAAATAAAAAATTAATAAATAAAATCGCTTTCTTTTTTTTTTCTAAAAAAAAAAAAAAAAAAAAAACAAACCATTAAGCTATCTTTTAATTAATTTTTTTTTTTTAATAAAAAAATTAAAAAAAAAAAATGTCATCAACGATAACAACGATATGTTATATTACTGATCGACAGGAATTCATCACAAATAAAACTCTCAATGTTGTTAAAGCTGCTGCAGTAATGCGTCCTAGAGGTAAAGACTCTGCGTTAAACCTTCTTTTGGTACGCTTTTATCCACAAAATAAACCACAAAAATCCATTTTGGCATCGTTTGCAATTGATGATGTACTTCTGGTGACCGGTAAATTTCGGATTATTGAAAATGTAGATGAAGGTGGAAAAAAATATCCTGTATTAAAGGTAAATCCTAAAATACAACTTTATTATCACAAATACATCATAGAGTTTTCTTATATTATATTTTAGGTTATATTGTTTGAAATCGTTCATCTTACTATCGATCCAAGCAATTTACCCGTATTTCCTATCCTAATAAATATGACGGCTGTTGCAATTGAACTTCCTCAAGTTGAATCTGATAATATCATTTTAACTGTAGAGACAAAAGACTATGTAGATCAAGATTATGTAACTCAAAAATTGGAATGTTACCACTTGAAGTCTGCTCAACACCTTGCTCCGACTACCTCATCTGTTAAAGTAGGATCTGTTCTCTTTATCAGTGGAGAACTAATATTAATGTTAATTCATGATAATTATATTGTTCATCTCCGTACTATAAATTTTGCTGAATCTCAAAAATCTGGTATTAATTATTTTATTTTTTTTTATTGCACACTTGATTCTAAGAATACATGCAGTCAGTATATTAATATAAATATTAATCTATTTTATTTTCAAAATATTTGTGTATAATTTCTTTCGCTTAATACTATTATATTTTATACTGTTACATTTTATATTTAACATTTTAATATTTTTTGTTAATTCTCTTTTACCTAACTAGGTGTCAATTTGAAAACCCCAGCTAATCTTCCTTGGTTAAATGAAACTTCGACCAATAAATCAAACAATAAACCTACATTTCTGAATCAAGTTTCAACTAATAAATTGAACACTGTAACTACGCTCCTCGATCAAACTCCAACTAATAAATCAGACACCGAAACTACAATCCAAAATGAACCTCTAACTAATAAATCAGATACTGAAACTACAGTTCAAGATGAACCTCCAAGTAAAGAATCATGTACAGAAACTACAACTCGAACAATTGCTACAAGAATAAAAGGCAGTAGGAAAAAAAAAACAACTGCTACAAAACTATACTTTAGATCAAAAGAACATCCAAAAATCACTGACCTTGCAAAAACCGCTTTAAGCAATCAAAATAATAACATTCCAGATTCATCCACATCTTAACGTTTTATTAGTTTAAAATTATTAAAAATTATATTCTTTTTTTTCAACGAAATCGCTTTTTATCATATTTTTAAATTGTTAACAAATCATTTTTTATTTTATTCTTTTTTTTTTAAATAAAAATTAAATCTTATTTTATAGTTCTATATATATATAAATATAAATAATAATAAATAAATCACTAAAAATAAATAAATATATACATACATATAAATCCTTTATTTTATTAAACTCTACGTTATTTATCATTAAAAATTTTGGCACCAATTTTTTTTAATTGTTTACACAATAACATTAATTTAGCAATAATTTTCTATGTATATAAAAAACTATTAAATAAATAAATAATAAAACAATAAAACCAATACAAAATTCAAAAAACCACTTAACTCAATATGACTATAACCTGCTACTCTAATTACTTGGACCAAATCGTCTATATCTCAACCAATACCTTGACAACATTATAGTTTAAATAAAATAACTTTTTAATTAAGACAACGATATTATTGCTATTTATTATTAATATAACTTTAGTATATATTAGTATCCCTATTATCACCCTGCACTTATCTCAACAACTTGCATGTTTCTAATGTCGCCTATTTTGCATTACTACATTATTACCTTAAACATGCATATACCTAATTTAGTTACTATTTTGCTATGTACCTTCTTATTACTCAAATTCATCTTACAGTCCTACACTCGCATATACTTAAATTAACTATTAGTTGTTACTTAACCTTAATCATCTTGCTGTACACTATCGTTTTATGTATGCGCATTCCCATCTAAGATATTATTTATTTACTTAACCTACCTAAGTACTTCTATTAACAGACTAATACATATTAATATCCTGAACATGCATATACCAATAACTATTATTATTACTTAGCCTTACCAATTTTATATAACTTTTTATACATACATATTCTTATTCTAAAAATTATTACTTAGCTATGTACTTACCAAATACCATATTATGTGCAGTAATAATACTATAATGTGTAAAATGTAACTGATAAACTCTACAAATTATAATCATTCTCAGTAAAAAACTAAAAAAAGAACAATAAAAATCAAAAAATATTTAATAAGCAACAGTAACAAAAAATATATATAAAGTGCAATGTTCATATAATATTTAAACATATAAAAAACTTCCACACTCACCTTTTAAAAAAACCATTCATAAATCGTCACTAATTCTCTTTGTTCCTAAAAAAAATAATTAATACCTTTCAAACTACTAAAAACATTTCAAAATTAAAAAAAATTTAAATAAACAAAACTACTCTTATACTCTTGACCTTTAACAACTTGAATATATTCCACTATTACCTATTCATTATGCCATTTTACACACATCAAATTTTTCAAATCCATTCATTGGAATATGGCGAACAAGTAATTAATTTAACTGAAACTAATATTACATCGCAACCTATAATGAGAGAAATAAACCCCGAATACAATACTACTTCATTTATATCATCCTTAACTCATTCACCATGGACTATATCATCAAAAATGCACCAAATAATCTACAAATTTGAGAATGAAATCTTATGTCAATTTCTGTGTGTTCCCTACTCTGTGTGCTCTAAACTTATGTACCCCGAAAAATCACTATAGATCCTCAAAGAACCTAACACTACTTATCCACTTACTACTGCATATCCAGATGTTGCATTAGTTTGTAATCCAAATCCACCACAAAACAGAATAGCAATATGTTCATCATGTAAATCAAACCCAAACAGAAATTATCCACCATACCTTTCTAGCATTCCATCAGAAATAGAACTTGTACTATTAGAAAAATGTAGATATTTGTCACCTATTTTTCTACATTGTTCACTAGGTTGTACTCCCGGAGCAAATCCCTTTACTGAATATAGAATACTAGCTGGTACTATGAACTATTCTCAAAACTTTTACTCTCTGAGTCTATATTCTGGTATATTGGGTGCCTTTCTAGAACCTTCTAACTCTACCTCAAATCCACCTTGGCTTGATAACTCTTTAATAAATGCAGCCAACTGGCTCAAGGAAAATAACCCCTATTTACGTGAATACAGAAATTCATTTTCAACAACATCATTTAGTCATCCTCCTATTCCAATAGCAACTCATTTACCTGATGATAACGATACCCCTCCCATACGACCAGGTGACATTGTAGTTCCCCATCAAAACTTTTTCGCCGAAATTCACAATGAAGATACCCACTACAGTTGTCTAATGGCTGGATTTTTAACTAATAACAGATCTAACAAAATTTTAATTTCTTTAAACGACCCTAACCTTGAACCATTACTTTTTCCTGATTTGTATCCCGATGGTCATGGTTACTACCACGAAACACATACTCAACCAGGATTTACATATCGCCATGAAACCTTTGGCAAATATATCAAACATCGCTTACTTTCATTGGATCCTCGATTCCGTTTACATCGTTACTGGCCAGCTTGGGCATACCTTCAGTTAGAAAAACTTAGAAATTTCCAAAACACACAACGATTGGTTTGCCAATCTAATGCTGACTCCACACATCGTCCACCTACTGCAATCGAAATTATTGAACGAAGTACTTACACTAATAGCTGGCACTATAATGAAACTAATACCACGCCCATTCCAACATTTATCTGTACAGGTGATACCTATTTTCAACAAAAAACCCTACATTTAAACACAATGATACATGAATTAGGACTTCCAACAGTATTCATTACTCTGTCAATGGCAGAAGGTTCATGGCATCATCTTCGTAATATTCTCATCAATACTGACAATCATGACCCACTACCAACAAACAGACCACTACACACAACCTTACATTTTATTCACAAACTACAAAATCTTAAAAAATCTGTTTGGAAAGATCCTGAAATTAGTGAATGGGGAACATACCAACATTTCTTCGACAGAATCGAATTTCAAAATCGTGGTGCAGCCCACCTTCATGGTGTTTACTGGACTACTTCTAATATAAACGAAATGATTAATTTAAACACAATTAAATCAACTCTTCCAGATCCAAATTCCGAACCTATTCTTTACCAAAAAGTTCGATTATTACAAATGCATACCTGTAACTCCAAATGTGGAGGACCAGCACCAAATGGTTCAAGATGTAAAAAAGGTTTTCCTCGTCTCTTTGCTGAACATACCTATTACGATCCAAAAAACTACAGATATATATATCAATGCCTAACATCCGAAGACCAATGGGTAATCCCATACCATGCCCCAACCCTAATTATATGGAATGCCCATATGAATGCCCAGTACATCACTAATAAAGGACTTGCCCGCTATATAACTAAATATATAAGCAAATCTGAACTGACTCATCTATTCAACATAAAAGAACAATTATGCTATAGAGAATACATCCATGCTCGCCGAATGGGATTAATGGAATTAATGTTTCTGTTACTTGGTGAACGCATCACAAATTCGTCAATCCAAGTTCAATTCCTAACAACTGACCCCCCATCCATCCGATCCAAAGCAATACTACCCTTATACATGATTGAGCCCAATGATGACAATCCTTATTGGTTCGACAAAATAGAAAAATATTTTGCTCGTCCAATCGATCCCATATTTAACAATATAACCTACAAATCTTATTACGAAAATTACGAAATTAAATCTACTAGACCATCTAACTCTTGAAGAGCAATATATCAAGATATTTTAGGAAATTTCATCATTAAACGTGATAACAAAATATTAATCCATTATCGTTTCTTGAGACCAGAACATGGCGAACCCTATTTCTACCAACAACTTTTACTAAAATATCCTTGCAGGTCTGAACAAGAAATGCTCGGAACTTACCAAACATACCGAGATCACTTCTTCTCCCAATATCCCGACTTATATCAATCTATAATTAACCAAAACTCAGAATTTATCACAAATCAATCAACCTATGCCTTAAACCAATACGACACAATAATCGAAACAATAATCTTTTCATTACAATCCATCCTTGCCAGTAACATAATTGACATCATCAAAACACAGTTAAACTTCCTTAAAATATTACCCTGCATAATACCTGCAAATTTAATAGCCAACCTAAGTTCAAGTCAATATCACTGTTATCAAACAATAACAAATTACTTAGGCAAACGAGATACTTCACATTACCCATACTTTTTCATTACCGGATCAGCTGGTAACGGAAAATCATTTATGATTCATGCATTTCTAGAATACTTTCAAAGAATTCACCGAAATTACTTATTAATGGCTTCAACAGGAATTGCCGCTCTTAATGTAGGTGGAACCACTATCCACTCTGCCTTATGAATAATGTCAGATGAAAGAGGTTTTCGCTCCCTTATATTTCGTGACACGAATTTCTGTAATTTTCTTCGTCAACTTGAAATTCTCATAATCGAAGAAATCTCAATGGTATCAGGTCCATTATTAACATATATCTCTGAACTCTTTGACGATTACACAAAAACAACCACCCATTCGGAGGAATCAGTATTATTTTAGTTGGTGACCTAGCCCAGTTACCTCCTGTCAATGCACCTCCTGTATACCAATCACCTATTTGGAAAATTTTCTACCCTTTATTTCTTTGTGATCCCCAAAGACAAAACAATGATACTCACTTTTACACTCTCCTACAAAAAATTAGATATGGTATTATAGACGAACAAGTTTGGAATACGTTATCTCAAAAATTATCTGAAACTATTCAATTACCTCAACCAAATACAACTCTTAATACTACTCACATAGTAGGCTATCGTGAAACTGCCGAATTAATCAATAGAATAATTTGTGCCTCGATTCCTACTCATGAAGATAAAATTTTAATTTCAGAAAGTATCGATATCGTAGACGGCCAAATATACTCTTCCAATTCAAGAAACTGTGACTTTGCAAACAATACAAACCTCACTAATACTATTAGAATCCAACCTGAAGCAAGGGTAATGTTTTTAAACAACTCCCAATACAAACACGGCATAGCCAACGGTACTCAGGCATCGTAACTGACCTCGACTTACAAGTTGGCCTTATATACGTCAGCTTCTGTATTGAAGGAGCCATAATTAATACTTCATTCACTAAATATACCCACAACTTCTATCTAAACGGCTCACCTGCCAGCCGCACACAATACCCCATACAGAATGCATTCGCTCTTACAGTACACAAAACACAAGGATTAACGATTCCTGACGTATCATTAAATTTAAATAATCAAATCTTTGAATACGGACAAGCATACGTAGCATTAAGCCGCTGCACAAAATGGGAACACGTAAAAATTCAATCGCTTGATCGTAACGCATTTATTATTAACCAGTCAATGATCAATGAATATGAACGACTTGAATCCAAATCCCGTCAACCGCTACCACTAAATAATTAAAAAAAATTTCACTAAATATATTAAAATAAACATACAAAAAATATTATATATCTTAAATAAGCACATAAAATCTACCTCCCTTATATAACCACACATATTAACTTAAAATAACCGATATTCATAACTTTCTTAAAAACCCGTTGTTAATATTAAAAAAATATACATAATTACAACCAACCTTTAAAAAAATAAACTCTATACAAAAATTTATACACATATTAATTAATAAAAAATTACATGAATCTAAATAAACTAACAAATAACTTATACAACTCAATTTCTTATTTATCACACAAATTACCAAAAATTCAAATATATTTATATTTATAATTATCACACAAAATCCGTTACACCAAAAACTATATAAAATCTATATTTTCCACTCAAAACCTACTTATAAATCACCAAATAACTAGCCCTTTCTAATCTTCTCTACAATAAATTGCAACCCTAATAACACAATAACAAATTTACATTTAATATTTACAACAAACTATAATAATTCTTCAAAACTCTTTATATTACTAATACTCATTTAACCCCTTATTTTAACTATAACTATAAAACTTACTATTTAACTATTACATAACACTTAACCTTAAATATAGCTTACATTATAAAATTTTTTATAAACAAATAATAATACCTATTCCAGTAACAAACACACAAAACAAAATACACAACTTAAAATAATAACTAAATACTATAAAACAAATCAATAAAACCATTAAATCTTACTTCGGCAGCGAAGCCACCACATAATCCAGTTCTAGTTAATAAATTAAGATTTGAAATATTGAATTTTGTTATATATTCAATTAATTTTGAGTGCATCAAATGATATGCTATATATATCATTTGATATACCAAATATCAATTGTCGAATTTTTACTAGTATTATACTAACAAAAAAAAAAACCTTTTATGACCTCCAAGACAAGTCATAAACATTAACATACATATGAGCTTTCTTGTTCTTTTTTTGATCAACATCTATTAATTCAAGTAAATAGACATCATTATTTGTTAATAATTGTATTACTTCTTTTATGTTATAATTGGAAATCTACTTGACCTTCTTTTTATAAAAGTACTTGAATGCTGCAGCCTGTCAAGACATTTTTTGTAAAATTAAATCAAAAAATTTAAATTTTGAAAACTAAAATTTAATAAATTATAACTTAAAATTAATTGAAATTTAGCTAAGAATTTAGATTGATTTTAAGTTATGATATATATAAAGAAAAATTCAAGCATCAGTTTTTTAGTAATTTTTATGTATACATTTATCAAAATGCATGTTTTGGAATATATCTCAACTATTAGACCTAGTGTTATATTTTGATTTGAGATGCTGCTTCAATATGTTAGCCAACTCAGTCTGATTGGTGTCAAATCACTTGGCAAGAAGATTATATAGCATAGAGATTATAGTTTCAAACAAGCAATTACTTTGTTCCTGTCATGTCTCATCAATATTAAGGCCAAATTCCCTACTCTTTCTTTGAGAATCACAAAAAGTTCATGCTATTAATAATAAAATTAGGTTTGATTAAAAAAAACAAAAATAAAATAAAATAAAATATATGTTGCATATTAATAAAATTAGGTTTTAAAAAAATAAGTAAAAATATGTTGAATATAATTTAAATATATACTTGAAGTGCCTTTCTTCTAGTTTTATTATTCTCAAAACCATGCTGTCTTGCTATTTTCTCTACATTCCTCACAAGAGCAGGCCTTCTTTATATGGCTAATAAAGTTTCAGCTCTATATTCTTCTTCCCACTCAGCCTGCTTCTATGTTATTGATGCATGATGGCTTAAAACCTGCAATGCACTAATATCATCAGCTAATATAGAATAGAAGTTTGATAATACTTCAATTGTATCCTCTAAACACATTATTTTATAATTATGGTCTCTTTGGATCTCACATAAATCATCAATTTTAGTTCATAGTAAATAATTTTCTAAAAAAAAAGAAATAGTTGCAAATTGAAAAAAAAAATAAAAAAAATAAAAATTAGTTATAAATCAGTATAAATTCAGTCATTATTTAAATAAAAAAATAATAAAATAAAAATATTAGTTATAAATTAGCATGAATTTGGCCACTATTAATTCAGCTATATTTAAATAAAAAAATAATAATAAATATTAGTTATAAATTAGTATGAATTCAGCTACTATTTAAATAAAAAAAGCAACAAAAAGAAAAAAATAAAATATAATAAATATTAGTTATAAATCGATATATATTTAGTAGTCATTCAAGAAAGGAAGAAAAATAATAATTATAAATATTGACATATATTCAGTTAAGTAAAAAAGAATTAGTAAATAAAATATTAGTTATAAATCAGCATAAATTCATCACCATTTAAACAAAAAGTAAGGAAAAAATTAGTAAATAAAATATTAGTTATAAATCAACATAAATTCATTACCATTCAAGTAAAAAAAGAAAAAAATTAGTAAATAAGTTACAAATCGACATGTTCTCTTTTTTTATAATAAATAAAAATTTATCATTCTCAAGTCTTCTATTACTATCCAATAATTCATAATTTAATAAAGATTTTACTCGTTTACTACTTTCACTTCTGCTTCTACTACTTCTGGATCTCAGTAGTAAATGAGGTAAACGAATATTAGGAATGACGGGAGAAATGGTAGTTCTTTGAGGAGAAATAATAACAGCCAGCTAGGTCAAAATAGTAGATAGTTGGGTTGAAATGGTAGATGATACAGTCAAAGTGATAAATGGTTAAGTCAAAGGGATGATTAATAGTTAGGTTGAAGTAATTGACGGTCTGGTCGAAGTAGTGGATGGTCTGGTCAAAGTAGTAGTAGATTATTGGGTCGAAGTGGTTAAGGTCTGGTTAAAGTATGGTAGATTGTTGGGTTGAAGTGGTTGATGGTCTGGTCAAAGTAGTGATGGATGGTTGGGTTAAATGAGTGGTAGATGGTTGGGTCAAAGAAGTAGTGAATAGTTGGGTCGAAGAAGTAGTGATTGTTGAGTTAATGAAGTAGTAGATGGTTGGGTCACAAATCTAGAAGGTTGTGACATTTGTCAGATACATCTTGTTCTAGTCATGGTAAAAAAAAAGATAAAATTTTCAAATAAAAATCTAAAAAAATTTTGGAAAAGTAAAGTTCTTCAAAAAGAAACAGTTTAAATTGGGTATATTTATAAAAAATTTTAAATTCTGATCGCTTAAATGACTAATTAAAAAAATAGTATTCATTGTTTTTAAATTCATGTTCTGAAATCAAAATATGACAAGTATTATATTATAATTGGTATACTTATTATATGTCAATTCACAATTCACAATTCACAATTTATACATTATTTTAAAAATTATACTGATTAGAATGATATGTTAAATTTAATTATGCTAA